GGCAAACAAGTCCTTCTATTTTTACATGCATTACTACATTTGTCCGTGCTATTGCTCGTATGCCTCCCCTTGCTCTGAACTCCTGTACTAACAAAGGAAAGACAAACTCCTGATGTCCATAGCCTCAGACATCCAGTTCTCTTGGCATCTGGATTTCGAACTTTCCTTACAGCCTTTCCGTCTTCCTTCCGGCAGATGCATGGACGGGAGGCGTCCATGCGTCCCTGCAGCCGGGGTGCTTTCCCGAAAGCCAAAACATTCTCAAAGCCAAAGTGCGTTCCCAAAGCTATTCGAACAAAGAGAGCGACTGTTTTGAGGGCATCCTGAGAAGCGCCTCGCTATTTCCAACAGGAACCTGCTCGAGTAAAAGGCCATCCCCGGATGCGTCACAGAACAGTCTAGCCTCTTAACAGTTGATGCAGTGGCACTGGATATACCGGTAGGCCGCAGCAAATGAGGGACGACAAGAGAAGCAAAGAGTCTAGAGTTCGATCTAGAATTCCTAGCGGTCCACCTCCAATCCTTGTAACAGGTTTACATGTGCCATAAACTATTGTCAGCCGTCATTCCATATCACCACACCTAGTGGGCTTTGTAAGGGATAACGGGTGCGACATGTGCCGTCGCTGCTCAAGTCCTCTGCTTGCTGGAAGGCCACGGGTGATTGGGGTGACAATAGACAGAAAATCGTAGCATTTGCGATAGGCGAATAGTGGGGGGTGGGGTGGGTGGGGGACACAGTCGCAGGGGAGCTGGGAGAAAAAGCAGATAACCGAAGGGACTGATAGCAGTCATGGTTACGTGCAGAGAGTAATGTAGATAGAGGGCGCCTTTTAGACCTCTCCCCTGTCGGGTTTGGGGGGGGGGGGGGGCACAGCGCCCAGCGGACAGAATTCTGCTATTAGCCAAAGTATAAACACTGTGAACTTGCGGAGAAGTCTGGGGAGCAGGGTGGGGGTATCAAGCGGCAAGTGGCGGAATGCTGTAGGAGATGTCGGGTCAAATGTGGACGATGGAAAGCAAAGTGCACCGGTGGAGGAGTCAGGAGCTGGCTATGAAAGGGACGGGGGCCGGATGTGATTTCGGTGGTCCTACGCCATGGGAAAGGTCAGGACCAAAACCGGTATCAAGCACTCTGGACCCGCAACTCCATCATAGTAAATCTAAAGGTAGAAGTAGAAATGTGATAGTATGATAATTATTCAATAGTTTCCGACATGTAGGCGCCTATGGTAGACTAATGTGTGGAATAAGAGGGGGGGGGGTCGGGGTATCATAGGTATTGTTATACCTCTCCTGGAGGTTCTCGGTGGAGAAGTTTGTCAAGGGATTTTCTTTCTCAGTTAGAGAGCCAAACTTGACCCATAACTCAGCGGGTTAGTGGGGGAGGGAAACCCGGAGAAGTCGGAAGATTATGACGGTAAAAGGGGGTGTGGTTCCTCGTAGTAACTGGCGGCAGTCTGGCGTTGCGTTGTTTGTCATTTGAAAAATCAGGCGATTGGACAAGCGCGTCATACTCGGCGATGCTCGCACAACCCGGCCCCGGGCCTCGAGATGGGCAACATGAGAGGCTCTGAAGCTGCACAGGGTTCGTTGGTCGATTCACAGCCGGGAACCCTTCGACAACACTGTAGCGTATCCCACGGGGGGTTTCGGTAAGTTACCGGTCCCCGGACAATACCAGTGTGGAAGCGTTACGGTCGGCTTCCGGGATTGAATGGCGTGCCCGACCCGACTGGCTCCTGTGCGAAAGGGTTGTCCGTGACCTCGAGATATGCTTGTACAGGAGGATGGAAACTGCGGTATCTTGGAATGACGACCACGTAACACACCCGTGGGGGAAGAAGCAGAGGAGAGGAGAAGAAGTTGGATCCAACAGAGACGGAGAGGAAGCTTGGTCTAATTGTGTGTTGATGTGGGGCGTTCACCCTCCTCGTACAAGTACAGTATGGGAGTGGTCGCCAGACCTGGGCGTATCCCTTTTCACTGCACAACATGAAGGGACACAGGCGCCTACGTGGGGGAGGGTATGCGCTAGGGCATCCGCCGCACCAAACCAGCGGATGGCAGGCCGGTGCTGTGCCCAAGCAGGGTCGCTAACTAATCTCGTCCACAATGGCAGAGACATTGAGCCCAAGGCTACTAGGAGGATGCGTATCACCTTTTCGGGACCGGGGCTGAATGTCGCACAATATCGTACCGTATCGCATTAAACTAAAATTACCGGTACGAGTACCACAACAACCGCTACTACAAGCAGAATAAGGAAAATCCATGCTCTTAGTGTTCAAAATGTAGGGTACAGCACAATCTTAATAATTCTGTATGAAAATATGACACAGTAGAAAGAGTGTACTGCAGGCATGCTAAGCGAGGAGGAGTGTAGTATGAAGGTAGATTGGTAGGTATTCTGATCCTTAATTCTCCTAAGCGAGGTGGGCGGTAACCACTATATACAAGTATACAGGTGTGCAACCATCACTGGCATGTAATAAGAGAAAATAATGGGAAAAACATACCGTAAAAACTCGAATAAACGGACCATGTGCTGTGTAGTCCGAAATTTCCTCCTCTGGAAAAGGGGGCAAATACACACCAAAAAACACGGTTTCCGAGACAATTGAAAAAGAAAAAATGACCAGA